CTGTGTAACGATATTCAGTTGGAATGTTTTTCACTATACACGAGCTTACTGGCACTAGTGGGAGTCAAGGATACTCGCATGCAACTCCGCTGGCCAAGAAACTCCTTTGTTGCGGTGTAATTTCAAGGACAAAAGCGATCCTTTTCATTCGAAATGATCGCTTTTGCGATCATTTTGCAAAATGCAAAATTTCATGACGTAACGTATTTCCATTGTAGGGTCTTAAAAAACTGGTATCGTAAATTAATATATATATATATATATATATATATATAGTTCCTAAATTCTGCTAAGCTTTGAGGCCGTCAAACTGTGCATGCGAGGCCCGCTACGCCGGAATTCAAAACGAAACTTCTGAAAACTGTTCTAATCTACCACTATTGCTTAAAAGTCCAGGGTTGTGTTTGCCAAATTTTGCATAGTTTATGCCTGTCTGGTTTTCACCAGACAAAAAAATTGACGTGAAATATTCTTTTGACCCGTTATTGGTAACTCTTTTCAAAAGAGTATACCGGGTAACATATTCGGCCGCCATATTTTGGGCATCGCTTTTAATGCGAGGCTTGTGACCAGAACCGATTTCATATTCAGTATTGACGCAGCATTCGTGTCTAATACATTTAGACTCGCATCCGCGACAAACAATGACGTAGCTCTCTTGCTTCCTAGACACTTGGCCAAAATAAGGCGGCCTCGAAGACTAGCGGCACCATGGGTTGCACTTTTAAAAAGGCTGCATTCAAGTTTCTATTATTTTCTAAATCTACCAAGGAAATCCAAAGCGAACATTTCTTGAGGAAAGTTAAACAATTCAAAAGTTGCGAGCGAGTGTGAATAAATAAAGCTGAGAGGGGGAATGGTTTCTTTGGTGCAGTTTGCGAGCGCTATGCTCGTGGTCAGCTTTCAGTGGCATTTTCGGCAGGAGGGCGCTTGCACAGGTATAATAGGCGTTCAAGCACACGCACCCGTACATCTGACTGCATAGCCATAGGACGTCCACAAAAACGCGACGACTTTACCAACGCCGTGCTGGTTGCAAAGTGATACTCGTTCACTTCGTTTGATTATGCTGTTTTGTTTTACATAGAACTCAAATCGAATGGTTTACCTTTCACGCGCAGGGCGTACACTTTACTTCTTGATTCAACCTCTTTTAAGCTGAGGTCACGGTGAAAAACATCGACGCGTATTGAGTACGTGCAGCCATCTTGAGATCTAAGCGATCACGCTAAGGACGCAGAGGGCAGTCCGCTCTACAACTTGTGAAGCGGAGCGCACGCTCACTCCGCTAACTATACGCTCCAACTCAGAGCAGGCCACGCATGCGCGGTGGGGACGATGCTTCTCGCAGAGCGTAAAGTAGAGCAAAGAGGGCTCATAAAAGTGGCCTACTAATGCTCACAGATTACGAACGTGCTCGTCGTGACTTGTCCTGACACTGCCCATGTACACCTTGGCGTATAGAAAAAAGTAACTTTTCACCAGACAGAGCAGCTGTGCTAGAAACAATGGAAACGCGAAATTTACACAAACCATGCAGGGTCTCACCTGTGAGCACAGCTCCAGTTTCGCCAGGGTCAACCACCTATATTTGTTCATGTCAGCGAGCAGGTTCTCGCTGACATGAGCAGGCTCTCTTTGATGTGGCCCACGATGAGGTTCACAGAACTAAAGAAAAACGACAAGTTCCGTCCAAACGCTCATCCAAGTACGAACAGACGGTTGGGATAGCCCAGCCGAGGAAGAACCATGCAAAGCGTCTCGCCAGATTGGCAACACCCTACGCCGATCTGTCGGGTGCTGGTATTTGGAGGCCAAAATGCAGAGCATCCAGGGGTGCTATGTTGCGCTTTTTGGACTCCCAGGAGACTAGGGAGAGGGAAGTGACGTCAACGACACAGCAAACGCAGATTGGATGTTGACAGAAGAAAACGAAATCAACACCCAATCTGTGTTTGCTGTGTCATTGACGTCACTTCCCTCTCCCTAGTCTCCTGGGAGTCCAAAAAGCGCAACATAGCACCCCAGGTCCTCCTTTAAGCAGGATAGCCTCCTAAAGGGTTTCTCTTCTACGTTGGAAATATCCAGCAAACCGCGTTCGGAAAGGAAGCTTCGGCGCTTGATGGCACGAGGGATACGAATCATAGATTCGATGTCTTGCCAGCTTAATCTCGTTAGTAGAAGTCTCGTTCCTTGAGAACAGCGGGGATTCATCGTGCATATGCCTTGCTTAGCCTTGCTAAAGTCACTTTAAGCCTTGCTAGCCTTGAGCAACACTGTACTCGTACTACGCACAAGGATGTACTCGCAATGCGCACACTTCGTCCTTTTCTTTTATTTTTCTACTTCGAATCAGTAAATCTGTTTCATTTTTAATTCGAGTGGAGCAGAAGCTACAAGAGCGAGTTCCGGCTAGTGTGCCTTCATGTGCGCTTTGCTTAGGGTGGAGACATTTCGCCATTTTGTCCCACACATTTATTTTTCTTTTTTGTTCAGTAGCGCGTGAAAGAGCGTGTCCCTGCACGCGTTTGTGGCGCTGACTGTGCGATGGCGACATTTTGTTTTCGCCAATTTCTTTGTATTTTACCCGTGAGCGCGTGCTGTCGGCATCGGGTACTACAAAGGGTGGCATCACCCTTGACAGAAGGACATTGAGGCACCCTAGTTCCGGCCTTTCAGCGTCCTTGACGAGCACGCGCGCTCGTGCAGTGCAAGTACCGTTTAGAGCAACATGCTCATGCTTATTTATACCTTCGGCTTCACTCGCACATAAGGTGGAACGATTATATTTATATTTTATAGCTTAATATTTTTTTAGGTGTGTGCCTACTCTTTTGTGTTTATTATTGTCGCCTTCGTTTTTACTACCTCTACAAACACGCTCCCTTTCACTCTCTTGGTGTTAACGTTTAGGTTTTTTTGTCTTACTAGTACTATAAACGTCCACTTGTGGGGCTACGCAAGCAAATTTTTCGCTCTAGTAAAACGCGTTTCTTGACCTCCGCTTTCCATTCCGGCGAAGCAGACCGCGCATGCGCAGTTTGGCACCCCCAGAGCGGAGCGGAAAATGAAAACGGTCTACTAAAACTCTCTATTGAGCACTTTTTTAGAACGCCGTAAAATACTACCTCTGCGTTATATACTTCTAAAAAGAGTTGATTTGGTGGTTTTCGATGACGCTGAGCAAGTTTCTAATGGGAACCATATGTATTTTGTTTCATTAATTAAAAGTTAATCAACGAAATTAAATTAATTAGCCGACTCATTATTATGATTATCCCCCTACACTATGTTCTCCTGGTCGTATAACTCACCTGCACAAACCGAATTAGTGGAACTTTCACGGCTTTTTTTAAACAGATCTGTTAATTAAAAAAAGAAAAAAAAAGAAACATCCCGCATATATATATATATATAACCAAATCAACGAAACCAAAAAGTACGACGCAACCTTTTATATTTATACCTATTATTCGCAAGCAAAGCAAATTGTTGTGTGTATGTTTATACAGCCGGAAGTTAGACTGCCTCAGTGGGCAACTGTTGCCTCAGCTGTAGATGAGCAATTTAGCCACTGCGGTACAACCGCTAACCTGGGGTCTTTAACGCGCACCACGCAGTAGTGATACACGACCGCACGCCGGCACAATGCTCATCCAGATGGAAACGGGCAGGGGTCCTATTATTTGTTTGAAAAAGCTGGAGTGGAACCACGGCAGCAGGCGTCGATGCCGGGGCGCTTGCCTGTAGGGAATTCTACTACAGCATTACCTCCTACTGTCCGCCTACAAACTACTCACGTCGCGCCCGCAATCCTTTCCAATACAACCGTTTAAAATAATTTTGTTTTATCACTATGCGCATTTTCTTGGTTTGATTTGATTATGGGCGTATGTCTGAAGCAATCTCAGAGAGAAGCAAAAAAAGAAATACATTTTTCGGAGCATGGGGAATATGTACTGAGCGACAAACATCGTCCTCGTCACGACTATTCATGGTTATGCTTTTGTTTTGCTTTAGTGCCGTAAGTGGTTAGCTCCTAGTCAATCCAACTAGAACAACGAACAGCGACAAGCGACGACACCCTATCAGCAGGCCCAGCATGCACGCGAATGTGTCCTTAGCATGCTTACAAACGCTAATGGAGGTAGGAAGAAGGGGATGCGACATTCCGACTAGTGCCAGCCAAACGAGAAAATCCGAAGTGAAGCAGAAAGTAGAGGAAAGCTCTTGGCCCCAAATCAGCTCTCCTTTTTGTCCAATAGCGTATCTTGGTTTTGTTCGTTTTTGGTTATCGTTGGGGGCATGTCCCTCCAAACCGAAAGGCTCGCCCAGCTTTACCATAGCTTCGAGATTTTTACCTTTTTTACGATTTTTACGAGGCTTTACCATCGCTTCCTACCTCCATGCAATCACTCGTGCTTACTTCGTGCACCAAGAGGTTACAAGCTTGGCAAAGATATCGTCGTGGCATACTGAACGGGCTCGGCGGTTGCTGTTGCCGGTTGTTGCTGTCCGTCGCTCTAGACTCAAGCACTAGAAAACAAGAAGCTTGATTGCGTGCCCATGAGTAGCACGCAATCAAACATCGTATATACCAGAAGAGCGACGAGCTACAGACACTGCTGGCGTAAACGTCAAACACAAATTGTTGTAAACAAAACACACACACACAAAAAAACGCTTTTGAAGATTTAGTACTGTAGGAAACTTAGGTTGGTTAAAAACTTACTTTGTTTCTTGTTGTTTTTTTTGTGATTGCCGCTAAGTGGGACGAGGCCACGTGGGAGCGTCCTCGACAACCCACCAATACTTACACTTTATTATACTTCTGCTCTCTCAACCCAAGCACGGCGGTGGTCGGTCCACCGGCACCAAATATAGAGGCAACGAACGTAACCGCATTACGTGAGCAGTGACTGAAGTCATAAGATGACTACAGTGGTGTTCTATTACGACATCCTTGGCTGGCAGAACAGACTTTTAATATGGACTCCAAACTACAAGTGGGGGAACGGCTTCGGAGACTGCATCGCGCTTTGGCTGCGCGGATTTCGAGGAGGCTGCCCGGACACTAAATTGCTTATCGGCGAGACGCTGTGGTGCAGGAGCGTGTAGCCGAGTTCCTGGAGCCTTTTCTTGTAGCGAACGTGGTACTTGTCGTCGTAAGGACCCCAGTCCCGCTCGGGCGAGATGGCCTTTCGACAGTTGCAGTTGCACTCGAACAGCTTCGCGACAGCCACGAGAATAATGGGCATCAGTCCCACCGCAACCAGGGCCCAGCCAAACACGTCGGCCCAGATAGGCAATGTATACAGACCCGCGCTGCTCCTCGGGAAGGTCACCATGACATGCACCAGCAACGTGCCGAGAACGACCGGAGTCGCGTATTTGATCGAAATTACAAAGAAGTAGCTCGGACAGATTCCCGTCATGAAGGTAACGTCGAAGCAGAACCGGTTCATACCGTAGACCCAGCCGACAATGAGCGTCTCAAAGAAGCACGTGACGAGCAACATGATCGCTCCCAGGTAATGGTCCAGGACTGCTAGGATGTAGAAGCCCACCTGCGTGGTGAGGCAAAGCCCGATCAAGAAGCAGGTGGAGCAGTACATGAGCGCCGACAAAAAGCGTTGCCCCGAGCAACCCGGAAATAGCCCTTGGATGGAGGTGGTGAGGATCTCGCAGTTGGCCATCTGCGAGTCGATGCCCTTTAAGAAAAGCACGGCGAAAAAGAAAACGGACCAGACGTAAGGAAATGGGATGAGGGAGAGTACCTCGGTATACGTCACAAACGCCAGCGCGGGCCCCTGGTTCACGACGTCTTCGATGGGCATGTTAAGCCTGAAGGACATGTTGCCCAGGACGGCAAAGACCACAAAGGCGGCTAGTGCACTCGTTAGGAAGTCCACGAAGCAAATGAAGCGGACGGTCCAGCGCGCGTCTGAGCGAAAGTTCAGGTAGCTCCCGTAGAGCATGAGGCCACCGGTGCCAATGCTGAGCGAGACGAAGGCCTGCTCGATGGCAGCTCTCCAGACGTTCAGATCGAGGATCTTGGACCAGGTGGGCACGACCAGGTACGTGATCCCGATGCCAGATCCTGGCAGGGTGATGCCCCTGACGAGCATGATGGTCAGGATGATGTACGGAATAGCGGCAGTCACCAGAAGCAACTTTCCCAGCACCTGGGGGAGGATGCGCCATTGTTATGTACTACTCCTTTATTTAGAATTTCTGCTTCGCAAGTATTGATCCAAGCGCAAAAAAACAAACTCTTATTGTGCTTTTTTTATTAGGTTTACATTATTCTTCACAAAGCACGTGGGACAGAAAAAAACCCCGATAATTTCAGACTTGAACAAAAGCGATCAAAAGGCCTCGCTTTCGATATTTGCGCCCAACGAAGCTAATTAAGTTTAAATGTACCCTTCAGACTCAAGGCTGTATGTATTTTAAGCCATGACGTTCTTCCGTGTAATTTGCCTTGGGCCGCGCAGCGATATCGAGTAGGATGTTTCGCACTTTAGAGTCGTCGCTGTCAGAGCAAAAAGCCCAGTGCCAAGCCTTATCACTCTGCAGCCAATGGGACTGGAGCCAACAAGAACGCCGAAGAACGAACTTAAAAGTTGGTCAAAAACGGCTTAACCTGACCGTCACTTTTAGAGCCTCGATGTTTCGGCGTGCCTTCAGTGGGTTCCATTCGTTACATCACAACCAGAATTTTTTCTCTCCGTGACGTCACGAGGTGGAATTCTGACTACTTATCATCACTTGCCAACTACAAGCTAGATGGTGTGCGTGAGAAACACGATTGAAGCTTGGAGTCATCGCATTCTCAAACCAACACCATCAAAGTTGAATATCGGACATTGTTCTTGTTTTCGTCAATGAGTGCGAAATTAATCCAAATAAAAACGTGATTTGAAGGGTCGGCCAATTCCGAATGCCGACCACAGCGACGCGTTTGGTCGCGCACATCGCCATGTATAGACATTTTTTTCATAACCTCATACCAGCGCGCAACTGACACACCTTGGTCTCTGGGAATTTTTGGATTGTCCCCCGATACAGGGTTTGTAAGCGCCGAGGGTTTGGGTCAAAAAGACTTAGAGACGGACGTCGTGCGTGAGTTAGTTTCGAGTGCCTTCATTTAACGGGTTACAATTTCCGAGAATCTACGGCTATCCGGCAATCACTGCGTCGTCGTCGGGTGCACAAATCGTTGTAATAATTGCAAGCACAATCACTGAAAGTGTGCGATGAGCACCACAAGCTGCGACACGAGTTTCGCTTCAATGTTATTGAGCTTCATATTTTCCCCAGGGCCGGTTTGCTCATCTTGCGGCTGCGGTCGCGGCTGCGGCCAGGAGGGATTTTTATGTCACGTGACCAGCTCCATGGGGACAAAGAAGTACCTAGCGTCCCTGCCTTATGGCGGAGTGATCAGCATCGCTTCAAGCACAAAAGCCTAATTTCGCTCGCAGAAACTGATTGCAGGGACTTTCATCTGGAATCTAATTGACCGCCCCTTTATACTGTAGGAGCGGCAGGTAAAGTTACGGCCAGGGAGGGTAAATAGGAGCCAAAATAAAGAAGAAACCACAGGAGATAAAAGCGGTAGCAGTATATTTATCTACCTTCGCCGGCGCCGGTGCCTCGCCCCTGCTGCTATGGTCGAGAGGTTTAAGCGCCGGTACTTGTCGTCGCGGCGTGAAAGTTCCGGGTTCAAATCGCGCTAGGGACTTCTTTTTTTTTTCTTTTTTTTTGTATTTTGTTGATGATGATGATTAATGGTTTAATGGCGCAAAAGCGACGAAGGCCATGCTGCGCCAGACTACAAGACTAATGCGACTCACAGTAATGGTAATTGAGAGCATACATGAAGCTGATGTTTTATATATTTATGGTGAACAGAAAATGCAGTACTTAAATTTTGTGTAGAAGGCCACTTGCTTGCAAAAAGTTGAGGACCCGATTGAATGGAACGATGGGATGCTCGCCTAACAAAAGTGTTGGATGGAAAGGAATCTGATATGTAAAAAGCTCTGGAAAACAGGCAAGCCGGTTCTGCTCAAAGCCTGGACAAGAACACAAAATATGCAAAATTGTCAAAGGTTCACCGCAATGCTCGCAGCTTGGAGCGTCTTCTCCACAAAGAAGATGTCCGTGAGTCAGGAAGGTGTGGCCGATTCTAAGACGGCACAAGAGAACCTCATGAAAACGGTTTTTACGAGATGAATTCTCCCACAACCCCAAAACTGGCTTAATAGCATGCAGCTTATTTGCACTCTCTAGGTTCCACTCAGATTGCCAAGCATCGAGGAGAGCTTTCCTAAGGAGGGGTTTGATATCTTGAAAGGGTATCCCCCGTCGGATTTCTAGGAGATTGCTTGCGGAGGTAGCCAGCTGGTCTGCTTTCTCATTGCCTTTGATCCCAACATGGCTTGGGATCCAGCAGAATTTGATAACAAACCCACGCTCTAAGCAGCAATTGATTTTATAGCGTATTAGCTTAGCGAGCATGTTTTTTGTATCTCTTACAGAGCAAAGAGCAACGATGACACTTTGGGAGTCTACAAAAAGAATTGCCTTCATTGTTTTGCTGGTGGTGATATACTCAATTGCAAGGAGAACACCATATAGCTCCGCAGTAAAAATACTAGCCATGCAGCTAAGCCGCTGGGCCTGTATGAAAACCTCAGAATAAACAGCCGATCCCACTGCAGAAAAAGTCTTGGAGCCATCTGTATAAAATTGAGTATAGTCGTCATATTTATTCTGTAAGCCAAGAAATTCTTGTTGAATAAGCAGAGGGGAGACATTATGCTTGCTATACCGTGTGAATGACCAGTCGCATGATACTGGAAGCATTTTCCAAGGGGGAATACTCTCGGCTTCTTGGAGAAGGTTAATGCCATGAAGGTCGAGACCGAGAGATGACTGATCACTGTGAACACGAAAGCTCAATGGCCGCACAATGCTTGGTTTATTTTCAAAAAGGCGAGCAAATTGAGATTGCTGGAGAGCAAAAAAGGTTGGATGGTGAGGATTAGACAAAATCCTGGAAGTATAGCTCAAGCCCAGGTACTGCCGTCGTTTGGAAAGGGGCATCTGGTGAGAGTCCGCGTACAAGCTTAAAACAGGCGATGTCCGAAATGCACCCGTAGCAAGGCGCAAGCCAAGGTGGTGTATTGGGTCCAACATCTTCAGGGAGGATGGTCGCGCTGAGTTGTACACAACGGCACCATAATCAAGACGGGATCGTACCAAAGCGTTATACAAGCGTAGCAGGCATAGTCTGTCAGAACCCCAAGTTTTATGTGACAAAATTTTCAAGATGTTTAGGGATTTCAGGCACTTTTGTTTCAATTCCTTTAAGTGAGAGATAAAATTCAATTTCTTATCAAATATGACTCCCAGAAACTTATGCTCGGCTTTAACTGGTATAGGTGCTCTGTTCAATTCCAACACTGGCTCAAGAGACAGCCCTCGTCGAAGAGAAAATGGAACGCACACCGTTTTTTCGGATGAAAACCTGAAGCCATTTTCGTCGGCCCACTTACTGATCTTATTAATTGCTAGCTGCAGCTGGCGTTCACAGCTGGACAGATTACAAGAGGAAAATGATATCTGTAGGTCGTCGACATACAATGAGTGTTCAATGGAAGGTGGCAGTATTTGAGCTAGGGTGTTAATCTTTAAAACAAATAATGTGACACTCAGGATGCCCCCCTGAGGAACCCCATTTTCTTGAACAAATGTGTCTGATAATGTGGTACCTAGTCGAACCTGAAAGGTCCGCCCAGTCAGAAAAGCTTTTATACAACGTAACATGCGGCCCCGTACTCCGCAGGCATAAAGGTCTCGCATGATTCCATATCTCCAGGTCGTGTCGTACGCCTTCTCCAGGTCAAAAAATACAGACACACAGTGCTGCCTCTTTACAAAAGCCTCCCGGATTCTCGTCTCGAGGCGCACGAGGTGATCTAGAGTAGACCGGCCTTGGCGGAAACCACACTGATTGTTATCAAATAAGTTTTGTTCTTCAAGAAAAAACACCAGCCGTTTGTTGATAAGTCTTTCGTACGTCTTACCAAGGCAGCTCGTAAGGGCAATCGGGCGGTAGCTCGAGCAAAGAGAGGGGTCTTTGCCAGCTTTCAAGAGGGGTATAACATGTGCTCTTTTCCAGGATTCAGGGAAGTAAGCTTTTTCCCAGAGAAGGTTGAAAAAACTAAGCAGATGTTGTAGGGGCAGCCTACGAAGCATCTCATAGTGGATGAAATCAGGGCCTGGGGCAGACTGTTTCCTGATGTCAAGAGCCAACTCCAGTTCACGGAGCGTAAAGGGCTGGTTGTATGGTGTAGAGGTTGCCCCCGACATAACTATTCGCTCGCATTCTGCTTTCATTTTAAACTGTTTAAATGTGGCACTGTAGTTTTCAGAACTCGAAACGCTCTGGAAGTGAACGCCAAGAGTATTGCCTAAGTCTTTCAGTGATGTGGGGACATTCTTGAACAATGGAGGGATAATAAAACAGCGGTAATCCCCTTTGATTTTGCGATAACGGTCCCACACCTCCTTTGCGGGGACAAAGCTGTTCAGTGAGGAGACATATTTCGTCCACGATTTCTTTTTTGCTTGCCTTCTAGTCCAGCGGGCTTGAGCTTTTCGCCTTTTAAATTCAATCTTGTTATTTACGGTGGGGTACCGTCGAAATATGCCCCAAGCTTTGTCTTGTTTCTTCATTGTCGTGGAACATTCTTCAGTCCACCAGGGCCTGCACTTTTTTGGTAATTTCCCAGAGGTGCGAGGAATAGATTGTTCTGCAGCCTCAATTATCTTCTTAGTAACATAGGCTGTAGCATCATCTGGAGACAAGACTGATAATAAAGAAATATCAAATGTTGCAGATGAGCAAAAGAGTTCCCAATCCGCTTTGTCAAGGCGCCATCTCGGCGTACATTCTAAAAGCGTACTAACAGCAGCTAGGCTCTCTACGACAATCGGGAAGTGGTCGCTCCCGAATGGGTTTTCTAAAACCTTCCAAGAAAAACAAGGAAGCAGAGAGGGCGATGATAAAGATAAATCGATGCAGGTGAAGGAGTTATGAGCATCACTAAAAAAGGTTGGAGATTTCGTGTTTAAAAGACAAAGATTCGATGACAATAAAAGTCGTTCTATGAGT